GTTTTTTAAGTGCGTTGATTGGTTGCAGAATAGAAAAGTTCTCGAGTATCTAGAAATTTTCTGTCCCCGATCAACGCGCTTAAAAAATTTGTCGTACGACAAATGTAATATTAGTCTAAGAGCCTAAGGCCCGGTCTACAATGAGTCGTTAGTCGTTAGTCAGAAGTCGCAACTATATGTTGATCCTTTTCCTTTCTGGGTGGAAGAAAAAGGACCGACATGTAGTTCCGACTTCTGACTAACGACTAACAACTCATTGTAGACCGGGCGTAAGCAGAAAGAGTGTCCTGTTACGATTCCGTTGTAAGACTTAAGTCGGTATCGAAAGTCAACAAAGAATTGTCGTAGATTTATGTCGCCTTGCGATGCGACGTACGTCTACGACAATTCTTTGCGGTCCGTTTTTGAAAAGAAATTTTCCCAGGTCTGTTATACAATACGTCGTATGTCGCTGTCGGATGTCGGGACGTGACCGATGGTCCAATGAGAAAATTTCTTTTTTGCAAAGACGTATTGTATAACAGGCCTTATTGGACCATCGGTTACGTTCCCGACATCCGATAGCGACATGCAATGTATTGTATAACAGGCCTAGTATTGTATAATATGTGTTGACTTGCGACATCGACTTGCGTCTTACTACGGAATTGTAAGCACTCGCGACAATTTCAGGCGCTATGGGCCTGAGCAGAAAGATTGTCGTAATCGTTTACAATTCTGTCGTAAGACTTAAGTCGGTATCAGAAATTAATGCACAAAAAATTGTCGTACACGTAAATCGTCTTGCGATGCGGCACACGTCTACAACAATTCTTTGTGGCCTGTTTTTGAAAATACACCAACGACAATTTCAGGCCCTAAGGGCTTGAGCAGAAAGATTGTCGTGTTACGGTTCCGTTGTAAGACTTAATTCGGTGTCGAAAGTCAACAAAGAATTGTCGTAGACGTATGTCGCATCCATTGCATCGCGAGGCGACATAAGTACGACAATTCTTTGTCCGTTGACTTCCGACACTGACTTATTATATATAATATTAATACTTACGTCTTACGACGGAATCACAAACAGTTACGACAATCTATCTGCTCAGGCCCTAAGGCTGGTGTTACCTTTGTCGTACAATTTTTTAAGTCGATAAGTTTTTTAAGTGTGTTGATTGGCTTCAGGATAGTAAAATTGTCGAGTATAAAAAAATGTTTTCAGCTGCCAATCAACGCGCTTGAAAAATTTTTCGTCCGACAAATGTAATATTAGTCCAATACGAGCCGGATGTCTTGCGAGACCTTAGTATAAAAAATTAACTTATATCCTTCACT